TGTCATAGTCTGTTCATTTTATAGTTTCTTAAAGCTTATAATTCTTTTAACCTTCTGTATCTTATTTAAGGTTATGTATTAATTTCACTTTAGTGAATCCATCAAATTGATACATATAGTTGTTGACTTGATTTCTAAGTTCAGTGAAACCTTTGAGAGCTGGGACCCAATGGGACTGCCTTGATTTTCTAGGTCTCTCAAGTTTTCTGCCTTTGACATGATGCTGTCTTACTACTTTTTCTGTTGCTCAGTTTAGTGAAAAATATTTTTGCTTTCCGTCTCTGAGGTTTTTTTTGCTTTACAGTTTCCAGCTTTTGCACGTTTTGCTGTATATTCCAATTTCCTTTATGGTTTATTTGATCCAAGGGCTTTTTGAAAAACAAGAGTTTTAAGTTTACACAGTTGTTTCTTTGTGTGTTTGTGATATTCTGTTTTTCTTGCATTGTCTTTGTAAGCATTCCAGAATTTATATGCACGCTTGGCTACATGTGTATATACCTGACCCTATTTTACATCTATTATTTCAAGCTTATTAAATGTGCTCAAATCTTCTAGCCTTTCTCTCTTACTTGTCACAATGATATACAATGATTGTGGATGTATGCTTTTTGCCTGTAATTGTGATTTTTGCTTTAGATGTTTTTGAGGTTGTGTTAGATTCAGAATTCATGCTTTACCTTTGGGAAAAAATTTCTGATAATGCTTGTTGTATTCAAGTCCTTCCTGGGAGTGTAATACTGCTGCACATTTTTAATATTTGCCTGGGGTGTCTTTTCCATCCCACTAGCCTGAGTTTTGTTTGTGACTTTTGGAAACAGTGTAATTTTAAAACTTCAGTTTGAGAATGTCTTTTGTATTTACAGTTATCGTGTTTAATGAATTAGTGTTTATAGAGCACTTAGAATTGTGCCTAACTGCTGTATGTTTGTCACATTAAAAAACATAGCTTTCCTGCCTCCTCCCTTCCCGTTTCTGGCCTGGAGGTTACATTTACATTTTGTTTGTTTTCTGTTGGTGCTTATTCTTAGGATTTTAGCATGCATACTGTAGCTCCATCTCTTGCTTCCCAAATTATATAAGAACCTTAGAATGAGCTCTCCTTATCCTTTGATTCCTAGAACTTTGTAAAATCTTGTTTTAAAACCTAAGTCGGTCGTAATTGTTTACCACTTAGAAAAAGTGGTATTTAGGCTTATCTGTTTTAACTGTGTTTTTGCTAATCATCATTTCGTTACTACATTGTTTAGAAACAGGTTTTTCAGTAAACTTCATATATCTTAAATACCAATTTGGTCTTTTCTTTGAATGGTAATTTAGTTACGAATACAGTTCTAGCTGATAGTTATTTTTCTGTGCATTTTTCAAGGATCTTCTTTTGTCTTCTGGCCTTAGTTGTTAAAAGTCTATTCCAAAATCTACTGTAATTGAGTTGATTCTGACTGATAGTGATTTTGTATCTTAAACGAGAAGGAAGTTTGTTATCTAAATAATTGGAGCCCTGGTGGTGCAGCGGTTTAAGAGCTATGCCTGCTAACCAGAGGGTTGAATCCATCAGCCTTGGAAACCCTAAGGAGCAGTTCTACTCTGTTCTATAGGGTCCCTATGAGTCGCAATGGACTTGACGGCAACGGGTTTGTTTTTTTTCAAATTTTCTAAATAATGTTTTTTCACAGGTAATTAGTTTTCATGGTTACTTTTAATATTTGCTGTATGAAGTTTTCGTTTTGCTCAGAATATTGTGTTTCTTGAGTTTGCATATTTGTGTCTTTGTATCACTTTTGGTACATTACTAGTTAGTTTATTATTTCCGTGTAGGAACTAGGAAGGAAAGACCTGGTGATCTACTTCTGAAAATCAGCCAGTGGATACCTAACAGTTCAGTCCACAGCACTGGATGGTGGTTGGTTTTGTTGTGCATGGGGTCGCCATGAGTTAAGGCCAGCTTGACCACAGCTAATAGTAACAGTTTTCCTGAGTGTTTCTTCTGGTTTTTTTCTTATTTATGCTGAATGTTTTAATTCTGTATTTGTGTTTCAATATTCTAGTGTACTATCCTGGATGATTTTCTTAGGTCTAATTTGTAGATCACAAATTCTCTTTCTTGTTAGTTGCTGTTGAGTTGGCACCGACTCAAGGCAACCTTATGTATAACAGAACCAAACATTATCTGGTCCTGTACTATTTTCACGGTCGTTGATATGTTTGAGTCTGTTATTGTGTCTGTTGTGTAGTTTCTTCCAACGGAGAAGGGTCATTTTCTAGCACTATTATCGGGTAATAGTCTATTGTGATCCTTTAAGGTTTTCATTGGCCAGTTTTTGAAAGCAGATCACCACGCTTTTCTTCCAAGTCTGTTTTAGTCTGGAGTCTCTGCTGAAACCTATCCACCGTGGGTGACCCTGCCGGTATTTGAAATACTGGTGGCATAGTTTCCAGCATCATAGCAGTACAGAAGCTACCACAGGACGACAAATTCTCTCTTTAGCGTTATTTAATTTGCTTTAAAATTCCAAGGGTCGTGTTGGCAATAATTACTGTTTTGGGTTATTTTCTTTTGAGCAGATTGTCTTCCATTTATTTTTAGCGTAGTTGCTATTTTATTTATCTTGATTATTTTATGCATATTTCATTTTCTTTTTCAGGTTTTTATTTCAGTTTTTGGGAGGAGTGTTGTAAGTCATGCATCCTGAAGTTTTCCTTGTATTTAGAATTTAATTATGAGCTTATCTTTGGCAGAAGTTGTGTTTTCTATGGAAATATTTGTGATTTGGATTGTAGAGATGTTTCTCCTATGCAGCTTTGTTTCCCCGTTCTGGGATTAATATTTGTTAACTTTAGGAAGGCTCGGAGCATTGCAGGGTAATGCAGGTAATAAGATTCAGTTTTGCTTTTAGGGCTTCAAGTTCTCAGGGTTGCCTCCTCCTCCTCCTTTCCTCTTCACGATTCAGTGGGAAGAGTTTTTCTTGTCCCACTTTTTTTGGAGTTAGAACCCTGTAAGATTTGATGAGCCCAAATTTACGTAGGAATCTTAGTTACAGCTGCCAGTTTCCTGTTCCTGAAAAGCAAACCTTCAGCCTGAAAACCCAGGGCCCTCCTGCACTTCTCCACCTCCCTCCCACGCAGGTATATAAGCTAGCTCATGATTAGTGCTCTTGCTTGTGGTTTCTGTTTGTTTCTGGTCCCGAAGGTCTTTTCTTTTAAAAAAGTTGCTTTATTGTTGTAAAAATATATATAACAAAATATATGCCGATATAGCATTTTCTGCGTTTAGAATTCAGTGACATTGACTATGTTTATTATGTTGTGCAACTGTCACCACTATTAACAAAGTCAGTGACCCTAAACAATGAATGGCTCCCCTTTCCCACCTACTTCCCATCCCTGGTAGCCATTTAGAAACTTTGGTCTCTGTACATTTGCTTATTTTGGATATTTCATATTCTTTCTCATTGGGAGCTAAGTTGTCTCTGTAAGTTTGTTGTAATTTGCATAATATTTCTAGGTACTTGTAGTAGGAAGTTCTATGTTAGATTACTCTATAACTTTTTGAGTTAACTGTTTCGGGTTACAAGCCCCTGGATTGGTAATAAGTAGATTTGGTCTTTGTATGCTTGTTTTGTAATCTGTTGGATGGTAGTTAACTCTGTAAACGTTTTATTGTTGTACAGGTAGAAGTGTATACACACGTTCTGAATCATGATGTAAAACACAGGTTGCTTCCCAAATTTGGAAAGTATAAATATAATATAATTGTGCAAAATGTAATAAGACATGTTTTTGGCATTATTTTATCTCGACAACATGGTGTGTTTGCCTTAAGAGCAGGGTTATGATCTCATGTGTCATGGATTTTGTAATCAGAATATTTCTTTTGAAAATCCCTGAAAAACCATGGTTTCTGGAAAGGCTGCTGAAAGCCTAGCTTCAGTTTTGGCCAAGTGGATTGATGGCAGAATTTGCTTAATTGGATAAAGTTATTTTGTACTGTTGCATGAAGTAGATGTGTTTCATGCAATTTCTTGCTCATTGGTTTAATAAAGTGGCTTAACTAATCAAATTTAAAGTAAGTAGGAGAGCCCCCGTCTTAATGCTGCTGCTACTATTTGCCAACGTTGAAAGCAGCAGCACCTGTGTAGTTCCTGTTTGGTTTATGGGAACAGAGCTTGCAGCCTCTAAGTGAAAGCAGAACTACTTTTCGTTGTATTACTCTGTGAAGTAAAAACCAACTTATCCCACTGGAGGTGAAGGAGAATTTCTGCTGCTGGTTTTTTATTGAAGACATTGTCCATAGTAATAACTTGTAATTAGTACTTATAATAGGAAAATATTCTTTTTCCTTGATAAATAGACAAAGAATTTGAGCAAAAGAGTAAAATTACACTAATAGCTTTGTAGTCAAATGTCCATGTTCTTTCCTAGGAAGACAAAGCAGAGGGTAGGTGGGGTGTGTGTGGAGGGCTTTCTCTATTTGGGGTAGTGAGAGCTACAGAAATCTGGAAGAGTGTCTTTATGTCATTCCCATTTTAAGTTTTCTGAGGGCAGGGACAGTGTGGTCATCTTTGTAGACCTGAAGTCTTGCACAATACCTGGCACATGAAATACATTGAGTGGATAAGGTAACTGAAGGTCTGCCTGTGTCTAGGAAAACAAGATTCCCAAAATGCGCCTGCCAGTTAAGTGATCAAGTGGGCAGTGCGTCTGTCTGCCTCAGAGTCACCTGTTAGTTTTGTTTAGTTTAGCCTATTATTAGGCTATTTTTTCTATAGCAAGAAGGGGTTTAGAGCATGAGTCCTGGAACCTGTTGCCAGACAAGGTCTCATTCAGCCCGACAGGGATAGTGGTTAGCTAACAAAAATTATTTTTGTCATGTAGGGCCTGTCGTGTAGGTGCTGAGATGTGGTGACCACCTCCCCCTTCCTCCCTTTCCTACCCTGCTCTCATTCCCTATTATTGACCAAAACTTGGCAGTCTTGTCATTGACGGAAAATTTTTAATTACAGGACTTGTTCCAACATCTGTTAAAACATGGTGGATTACTATGAAGTTCTAGGCGTGCAGAGACATGCCTCAGCTGAGGATATTAAAAAGGCGTAAGTAATTTTATTCTTGAAATAATTTTTATATTTTTATGTTGGTAATTTGGTGATTGTGTATATTGTGTATTAAATTGCTTTTTAGTGTATCATAACAGTGGTTTAATGCTGTATAGTTTTATTTTCGCTTTAACAGAGTATTCACAGATTGACACTTGTGTTCTCATACCTGGGTATAACCCTTTGTCAGTTGGGAATGGAAAAGTTTACTCAGTTTACTCTGTTGCTTTGCCTTTGGGACAGTGGAATTTTGTTTTTGTTTGATGAAGGTCAAAAAAGTTACCGGTCACAAAGGAGATGAGTATTAATATATATGCTGCAACATGAATGAATCTCAAAACCGTTATGTTAAATGAAAGAAATCAGCACAGAAGATCACTTATTGTATGATTTCATTTTATATGAAACATCCAGAATAGACAAATCCATAGAGACAGAAAGCAGATTATCAGTTGCCTGGGGTTGAGGCTGCAAATGAACACAGGAGATCTTTTGGGAGTGTGGTGATGGTTGCACAACTCTGCAAATTTACTAAATACCATTGAACTGTACATTTAACAAGGGTAAATTTTATGGTTACATAAATTATTTTTCAAAAAAACTGTTAAAATAAAAGATACAAGTAATGAGAAAAAAAATTACTGAGCATATGAAGTAATGCAAAAGAACCTTGACTTTGGAATTTGAAATGTGATTGACTTGGATTCTTAAGCACCTTTTCTCATAGTGTGGGCCCAGAGTATGGCATCGTAACTTCCTAGACGTAATTGCTTAAAAATCCAGGTTGTTGGACTGCATCCTAGGCGATTTGAATAAATTCATTAAAGCTTGAGAACTACTTCACTGCCTATTTTATCTTATTCTGACCAGGGCCTGTCTGATTTGAGTAGAGCAAGTCCCAGGTGACAGAACAATTAGTAGGTTGTCTAGCTCTGAAGGTAACTTGGATCTGTTCATTTAGATGTTAATTAGAAAAGATAGAGCATACGGCAAGAAAAGGTCATTATTTATATTTTATAGATTTTTTAGCAGAGCTAGAGGGACCGACAGTCTTGGAAGAATTGGAAATTAGGTTTTCGTGTATGTTGGAGGAACCAGGTTTTTTCAAAAAATAAAAATTGTTAGTCCATAATGAAGTTATTCATACTGTGAAGTATGAATTTAGGAAAAGCTGTTACGTCTAAAAGGAGAAAGGTTTTCTTGTAAGTGTACAGTTGCATAAATATTGACTTAGGCTGGATTTAGTCTTACTTTTTTAAAATGAGTAAAGTTATAGTCATGGGGTGATGTGTAATATTAGAATGGTTGTGGACTACTGGTTTTGTGAGTGTGCTGACAAGCAAAACTTTGAGGACTGAGAACGTGCAAGTCTGTTTCTCCAGAGACAATCTTGTATGAATTTGAATCACAGATCATGTGCTTTGTCTCAAATTGAGTAGTAGTATTCTCTTTCTCGTGCTCAAGTACTGGTATATTGAATCAAAATTTAAAAAGAGGTGATATTTTTACACTTAATATATTATGTTTTGGAATCTTTGGTTTTTAAAAAATTTAGTAGTCTACCTCAAGAAGCATATACAGTTGAAGCTTAGAATCTCACGTATTTCTTAGTTTTCTCATCAGCACATTAGATGATTGGTACCTGTGCAAATTAATTGTTCTTTGTTTTCAGTCTTTGCGTTGTTTGTCATTTTTGTTGAGGTTCATGGCACTATTAGTGGTTTTTGTCTATTACTCCATGTGTAGATGCACTGTGAATAAGAACAAAATACTGTTTTAGCATTAAAGATTCCAGCTTTAATCAGATTTTAGTATAGCTTCTTTCAGAAGCTAAAGTTTTTGTTTCAGATGTTAAAGTTAAATTGAACCACAACAGCCTTATATTGATAACTTGCGAAGTGTTAAAAAAGATTGTCAGGTATGGCTCTCCCCCCTTTTATGCCACCCTCCTCGCCTTTAAATGTATGTAGCTTAAGTTGTGCTGATTAGTAGTGGAGGGTTTTTTCCTTTTGTATTTGCAAAGCATGTAATTGTTATTTTATATTGGAACCTTAGAACAGCTTATGATTTTAGGCACAGGTTATTTGCAGAAGTCCGTGTGTTAACTCTTTTAGATGCTAAAGTGAGTCTTATTGAATCTAAAACAGGAATGATATTTTAACAATGCTGTAGCTGTCAGTTCACATTTGACACAATAGTGTGCTAAGTAATGGGCTGGATTAGGAAGTACATTCTTGGGAATCAGGAAATAAGGATAAGGTCGATCATGATTGGATTTTTATTGCTCAAGTTATCAAGACCCCTTTTTCTCCATATATTTTCTTGGCATCATCACCACTGAGTCCATGTTATGGACATTTTGGTCCTCAAGTGTCTTAATATTTTTCTGTCTCTAGAGTTCTGTTTGTATTATGCTTACAATCTGGAGATTTGAGTTTAGTTTATTTTTGGGGAAAGGGAGATTCTGCACTTAAAGTTGCTATTAATCTCACCAGTTTGCAAGTCTGAAGCCATTTATTGCTTAATTCTGTTAGTTTCAAAAGCCCAGTTGATTTTGGAGTTTAAATATGATCAGCACCTTTTACTGTTTACCTAGGTATCGTAAATTGGCACTGAAGTGGCATCCTGATAAAAATCCTGAGAATAAGGAAGAAGCAGAGAGAAAATTCAAACAAGTAGCTGAGGCGTATGAGGTGTTATCAGATGGTAAGTTGTACTGAACTTGTTAAGGGCTCTGAATGGTTGGTGAGAATAGGGAAAGTATTAGAATCATCCTCAGAACTAGCAGAACATGTCCAAAAATGATTCCCCCCTGCAATTGAATTTTGGGACCGCTGAGAAGAATGCTTTAAATTTTTTTTTGAAGATTTGAATCTCATGTTCTTGTTAGCCATTTGTTACAGTTAACTATGAACGTTGGGTTTCCAGCAGTTTCTCTTACGATAGATGTTTTAAAACAGTATCTGATAACCCTGGGTTTTGAGGAATAAGGAGGAGAGATAAGATTACGTGAATCTGTCACTGTTCATGTGGGTGGTGATCCCCTCCCATCCCTCCTTGGTAATATTTGATGCTTCTGACCCCTTTCATCACCATTGCTATACTTCATACCTTCCTAATGTAGTGATTTTTTATTACTTGAAAGGATTTTTTAAATTTCTATTGGAGTAACACATACTGAATTCTTCAGTTTACATGTATAAGTGCTTCATTGAATTTAAGTGATGGCATTATTGTTCGGTAAAATGATCATCCATAAGTATTTACTCTAAACAAATTACAGCTTCTAAGCATCGAGAGCCTTAAGTATGTAACTTACTTTCACAGGCATTCTCTAATTTTGTTTTTTTTCTAATAAAATTTAAGAGTGCATTATTGGTTATGATAATATAACCAAATTGATATCATAATGGCTTCATAAAATGTGTCATTACCAACCTGTAACAAACTGTCAATCCAAAACTTAAGTTTTATATAATGTCAAAAGGTATGAGAAGACTATCAGTGTGTTTTTAACAAGATGTATTTTAAGATCACTGGTAGAAATAAGGACAAAAGTAGTGAAGAGAATTCATGAAGTAAGAGAGACTAGGAAGATGAGAAAAGCAAAAAAAAAAGCACTATTACTGCAGTAGTGACATGGCAGAACGGCTTTTGGGACCATTATAGTCCTAGCTGTATCTCATTATCTTGACCAAGTTCCTCCATCTGAGCCTTGACGTCACAAGTATTTAACAGCACAAGATTGAATGAAATCATAAGGCCCTGTTTAACCTTTAACCTAGACTTTTTTTGATACTCATGGTCTTAACTTAGGCTCTCTGCCCCTTAAAGTTCTCTGTGCTTTAGATGAAGTTTGTCAGTTTGCACTCATAGATAGTACAAGAGTGCTGTGCTTCAGACAGACATTTTTTATTAATTGGGCTAAGCAGTTTCAGTTCAGTGGTTTAAAGATTATTTCTGGGCATATTAGATTCAGGGTTCCCCCAATCTCAGTAGATCCAGTAAGTCTGGTTTCCATAAGATTATGAAGTTCTGTTCCACACTTTTCTTTCTCGCTCAGGATCCATCCATTGGGTCCTTGATCAAAATGTTCAGTAATGGTAGCTGCGCACCATTCATTTCTTTTGGTCCCATAGTAATGGAGGTAATAGTTTATATAGGTAATTAAACCTGTGATCTGTTTGCAGAGACCTTTTAATTAAATTACAGTAGGATCTCAGAATGACGTGATAGAGGTGTCTGATCTCCCCTAACTTCACAAGGGGGAAGGAGAATTAAGATCAACAGCCCACGGCTGATTCCTATGAGGCGGAGGTCAGGCGTACCTCGTCTCGCTAGCCCTTTTTTACCAATTCTGGCAGAGTTCGATAATTAGTTGCAATGGCTACACAGAACTCACAGACAATACTCAAGATTATAGGTTTATTAGGGAAGTAACAGGTTGCAGTTCAGGTTCGGGAATGCTCAGGATACAGTTCTTCGATCAGGACAGCCTCTTCTCAGCTGTGCCTGCAGGCAGGTCTCTCTCTGGCCCTGGGCCCCTCGGCCCCCTGAGCCTCTCAGCCCGCCCTCAGCCCTGCTCAGGCAAGTATTAAACAAAGCCAGTGAGTGCCCAGAGGCATCCCATTCCGCCAGCGAACCTCCTGCATGAAATGAAGGTGCTGGCTTTCTTAATCTGTGGGCCTGGAAGCCCACCACCATGCTGTCTCCTCCGGTCTCCTGGTACTGGTGCTGCTGTTTCTCTGTTGCTACTTCTCACTGTCTCTGGTGTTACAGCTCTTCCTCTTTCTCAGTGTATCCTTTTAAGCCTAATAGGTTGGCAGAACTGACCAGTCTCCTTTTTATGGCTCCATATACCTCATCTGCATAGTCCCACCCAGTCATTTAGTGGGAGTTACAAAGACTATGGCTAGAAGGGCCATATTAAGTAATTTGTTGCACTGCACAGGAATAGATCCAGTCCTGTTTGAGTTTATCAACCCAAGAAGATTCTGGTTTAGCCTCCCCTCCTCCACACCCGATTTAAGCCTATATAACATAATCGTCAGGGACACAAAGTAGCAAATAAAAGATTTCAACAAAAACACTACAGCTAGATAGGTCTGCAAAAGTCCATGCTGATCTCCTTTCCGATGCACTTGTCTTGAATATCTTTATCTTTCTAAGGCAGCCCCGGCACCATTAAGCGTGGTCAGTAGTTTTCACAAAGCCAGCAAGCATCAAAACTCTGTTCAAAGCCAGTGCTAAACTAGACAACATCTCAAAGGTACCAACTTTGTAATCTTAAGAATTGATATAACCTCTGTGACCCCCGTTACTTTATAAAGTAGAAATTATATCACGTGTGGGAAAAGATGGTTCATGTTGACGTCAAGGTGGTAAGAATGAAATGCTACCATGCACAAAATAAATAGAAAGGTGTTTGGTATCTCATAGGGACTCAATGCTGTAAGAACTTCCCTCATTTTAATAATCTTTTCTTACAAAAGCCTTTCTCAGGATTTAATAAAAAATGATTCTCTTTTATCCTAGTATTAAGCCATAAAGCGCTTCTACGTAAAGATGGTGCTTTAAAGAAGTAGAAAAAAAAATTACTATAGAAGCATGTTAGTTAAGTAGGCCAGTGGGGATGGTGAGGGTCAGAATGACTGCAGCATAGACCCCGTAAACTTTTGCTGTTTTATGTGTTTTCCTCCTCAGAACATCCTACATGAGGTAATTAAGGTAGAGCACTGCTTTGTTGTCTAGGCCCTCTAGTGCCATAATTTGGATTAGGTCTTTACATCTGTAAAGTAGAATTGGAAGGACTAGCAGTTCTAAGCTGAAACTTGTCACAATTGGATAATTTATTTGGTTGCTGATACATCTGCCTCTTTCCAAAAAAGGCTTGAAGTAGTTACAGATTAGGTCATGTTTCTTGTACATGCCAGAAAGATAACTAGACATATTAAAAGTTGAGTGAGATCCTCTGTTTACAAAATGGAGGAATCCTTAGGAGTCGTTTCTTAATCAGTCATATAAAAGCTTTTTGGATTTTTTGATGTAGGGGTGCTGATAAACGTGATGGTGCAGTTATCATTCACTTGACAAAGCTAATCTGTGTCTTGACAAGTTTCCTTATTATGTCAGTGCTCATGGTATGTCATGTGTTAAGTGCTTTGTATGCAGTGTTTTATTTAAAATCGTCCAAGTAATCCAGTACCATCTTTACCTCCTTTATTTTATAGTTAAGGAAACTGGCTCACAGTAACTTGTTCCAAGTCCCACCTAGTAAATGATAGGGCTGTGTGAATTAATCTAATATGCCTCTTAAATTAATGTTTTTATGCTTTATGTAAGTCATGCTACAATTGGAAATTCTCACTGATTAGTGTTGGCGAGGCTGCTAATAGTTGTGCTTCCTTTCCCCATAATATATGCCATTTATTAATGTGCTGACAATTACAGGTAAACGTCCTATAATACACCTGTTTGGGCAGCATAACCCTTGTTGGGGCAACATCTGACCACATATATGTCCGTGGTCCTGTAAGGTTATAATAGAGTTCAGAAATCCCAATTGGAGAATAGGAGGTAGCGGACAGTATTTTGCTAATTACTGTAGATCATTCTGTCCCCCATCAGCCCAGGCCCCAGGGGGTGGGGGTTCCGGCACCCGTCCATGGCCGTCTGTCCCACCACGCTTGCCTCAGGCAGGGGCTACCGCAGGGACCACCGCAGCCACTGCAAGGGCGCCCGCTGCCCCACTGCTAGGTGGCAGCCTGGAGCAGGTGGGGCTAGAAGAGTTTAAATTAGAAGTTCTGGTGGAGCAGAGGTTAAAGGTGTGGCTGTTAACCAGAAAGCAGTTTGAATCCACCAGCCACTCCCTGGAAACCTCATGGGGCAGTTCTGTGAGCTGGAGAGCATCGGGTTTGTGTGTGTGTGTGTGTCTTTTTTAGGAGGGCAGGGAAGGCAGGCAGAGAGGAGGGCAGGGAAGGGAACCAGGTGTGCATGGAGGCAGGTGGCTGTACGACGAGTGTGGAGACTGGACGGTGACCACACAGGGACCAGCTGTAGTGGAGCCAAAGTTTTCACGCGGTCCCTCAGCAAAGGCAGTGGTGACGTGAGTCCTGGACTCACCTGGCAACCATCCTACACGCTTCTCTCCTGTATATAATAACAGCATTCACTCAACGTTCAAATCACACAACATCCTATTTCACAGAACGTAGTGTGGACATTAAATGATGCGTATCTGTACATGAAGCAGTAAATCCCATTTAAACCAATGCATATTTTGTTTTGAAAGTCAGGAGGTAAGGAAATGAATATCCAGTGTGGATTAAGACTTTAAACTTCTAGATGAATTTTTTCCAGTACTAGGTCTAGGGCTTGAATGTCATTCAGTGTCAGAGCTGTTGGCCTAATTTAATGAATTGAGTAGAAGGTTAGCTGACAGCTGGATATAATCAGTGGTATCATAGTGAAGAAAAGAATCGTGTATGGGTTGTGGGAGAACAGTGTGACACTTTGTAAGAAACTGGAAAACTACTGACAAGGCGTTGGCGTGAAGCAATGCTGGATGACATAATGCGAGTAAAGGCAGAGGAATTTAAAAGATGAGAGACCAGTGCACTGATTACAGGGAGTGAACGCGAGCTCTAAGTGTATCTACGTGTAGTCAGATAATAGCTCACTGTTTAGAGAATGTTTTGTTTTTAGGTTGAACCCCATAACCATCCAGCTTCAACAGTCATTAACACGTGACCAACCTTGCTTTGTATATTAACACCTCTCCCATTATTTTAAAGGACATCTCAGACATCTAATTTAATAAAAAACTTATTATGCAAACATTATCGAAACTAAACACATAAACTAACTTTTGAAATCTCTTGAAAATGTGGGATTTGAAGTCTCAAACAGTTGAGCTACTAACAGCTCAGATTTTGTTTTTCAAAATACATATATATTTTTTATTGTGCTTTAAGTGAAAGTTTACAATTTGAGTAAATCTTTCATACAAAAAATACACACCCATTGTTATGTGACCCTAGTTGCTGTCCCTATACTGTGATAGCACACTCCTCCTTTCTACCCCGGATTTCCCATGTCCATTCAACCAGCTCCTGACCCTCTCTGCTTTCTCATCTTACCTCGGACAGGAGGTGCCCATTTAGTCTCACGTATCTTACTTGAGCTAAGAAGCACACTCTACACAAGTATCATTTTACGTCCCATAGTCCAGTCTAATCTTTGTCTGAAGAGTTGACCTCCTGGAATGGTTTTAGTTTTGGACTAACAGAGAGTCCAGTGGCCATGTCTTCTGGGGTCCCTCCAGTCTCAAGCAAACCATTAAGTCTGGTCTTTTTACTAGAATTTGAGTTCTGCACCCCACTTTTCTCCTGCTCCATCAGGGACGCTATTGTGTTCCCTGTCAGGGTGGCCATTGGTGGTAGCTGGGCACCATCTAGTTCTTCTGGTCTCAGGCTGATGAAGTCTCTGGTTTATGTGGCCCTTTTTGTCTCTTGGGCTAATACTTTCCTTGTGTCTTTGGTGTTCTTCATTCTCCTTTGTTCCAGGTGGGTTGGGACCAATTGATACATCTTAAACATGGCTGCTCACTAGCTTTCAAGACCCCGGACGCCACTCACCAAAGTGGGATGCAGAACATATTTGTAATAAACTTTGTTCTGCCAGTTTACCTAGACGTCCCCTGAAAGCATGGTCCTCAGACCCCTGCCCCTGCTACTCTGTCCCTCGAAGTGTTTGGTTGTATTCAGGAAACTTCTTAGCTTTGGTTTACTCCAGTTGTGCTGACTTCCCCTGTAGTGAGTGTGTGCTGTCCTTCCCTGAGATGATAATTGTTTACTATCTAGTTAGTGAATACCCCTCTCCTTCTCTCCCTATCTCCCTACCCTTGTAACTGTCAAAGAATGTTTTCTTCTGTGTTTAAAACTTTTCTTGAGTTCTTATAATAGTGGTCTTATACAATATTTGTCCTTTTTAAAAGCTCAGATTTTTAAGAGTATCCTTTGGTTCACATTTTTGAGCTGGACTGACATTGAAGACCATTCCAAATTCCCCCCCCCCCCCCCGCCCAGGAGAAGTTTCACTGGTGAAAAAAGAATTTCTGTTTAAGTGATTCTCTTAATTTTCCCATATGGTGGTATTTTTATTTTTATTGTTTTTTTTATTTTTTATCGTACTTTAGGTGAAGGTTTATGGAACAAATAGTTTCTGATTACACAGTCAGTACGCATATTGTTCTATGAGATTGGTTAACAACCCCACGACACATCAACACTCTCCCTTCTTGACCTTGGAGGACCTTTTTTTTTTTTTTGGTGAAAATATACGTAGCCAGAGATATACCGTTTTCAAAAACTTCTACATGTACAATTCAGTGAAATTGATAACGTTCTTCCACTTGTGCTGCTGTTCTCACTATCCTTTTCCAAATTATTCCATCACCATTATCTTCAGCTCACTGCCCCCTAGGTTTCCCAGCAGAGCTTTTGAGTTGCTGTTGTCAATTTGATCTCACGTAGATAGTTCTGCTATTTTTATTTTACTTTAGATGAAGGTTTATAGAATAAACTAATTTCTCATTAAATAGTACACATACTGTTTTGTGACATTGGTTACCAACCCCGTGACATGTCAACACTCTATTCTTGACCTTGGGTTCCCCATTACCAGCTTTCCTGTCCCCTCCTGCCTTCTAGTCCTTGTCCCTGGGCTAGCGTGCCTCTTTAGTCTCGTTTTGTTTTATGGGCCTGTCTAATCTTTGGCCGAAGGGTGGACCTCAGGAGTGAATTCATTACTGAGCTAAAAGGGTGTCCGGGGGCCATACTGTCGGGGTTTCTCCAGTCCCTGTCAGGGCAGTAAGTCTGGCCTTTTTTTGTGAGTTAGAATTTTGCTCTACCTTTTTCTCCAGCTCTGTTTGGGACTCTCTATTGTGATCCCTGTCAGAGCAGTCAGTGCTGGTAGCCGGGCACCATCTAGTTATGCTGGACTCAAGTCTCATGGAGGCTGTGGTAGTTGTGGTCCATTAGTTTCGACTAATCTTTCCCTTGTGTCTCTGGTTTTCTTTATTCGCCCTTGCTCTGGACAGAGTGAGACCAGTGGAGTGTCTTAGATGGTGGTTCACAAGCTTTTAAGACCCCAAGCACTATTCACCAAAGTAGAATGCAGAACATTTTCTTTATAAACTATGTTATGCCGATTGAGCTAGGTGTTTCCTGAGACCATGGTCACCAAAGCCCTCTCAGCCCAGTAGTTCGGTCCCTCAGGGAGTTTGGATGTGTCTGCAGAGCTTCCGTGGCCTTGCCTTGTACAGGTTGTGCTGGCTTCCCCAGTACTGTGTGCTGAAGACCATTCCATCTTGATTGGTCTTTATTTTTTGCATGTTGTTACAGTATTCCCAGATACCATGTACAAATAACACTAGAAAAATTGAGAATGAAATGGAAACTTAGTTTGGTAGAAACAGAACCTTTAAACTTCCATAAAAACGCTTGTCCATTTTTTTTTTTTTTTGAAGGAGGGTGTATTTTTCATGTACTTGTAGTCGCCTGTTGCCCCAGCTGGGCTATTCCAAATTATCTTCAAAGGTAGTTATTGTTAATTAGGTCTCTGGTTACCAAAAATTAGTTTAAGCAGTTTGCCTCTAAAACTTTCCCCCACAAACCCTTTTATTTTAGGGCAGGTTTTGCAGAATATGAGGGTTTTGGGGGGAACACACATGGTGTATTGCATCAGAAATACTTCTACATTTTAGTTATTTTAGGATGTAAATAGTAAAACCATTCGTGGACAATTAAGCCTTGCATTTGGCGGTTGGCATGCTCAGGGTGATTAACTCTGTAGGTCTTAGCGTTGGCTACTTCTCTGGCTTTTTGTGCATCAGCTTTCTACCTTCATCCAGACGTGAAGCAGTAGAGGTCAGTTTTGTGCCACGGATCTTATCCTTTAAATTCGACTTTGTAGCGAGAAGGTACACTTCCAAGGCTGAAATAATTTTAATGGGGTGTGTGAGGAGGTAGTATGAAATAATTGTTCTAATAAAATATTTTAATATTTGTAATAACTTTCAAAAATTTAAACATATGAAACTTTTCTAATTTTTTTTTTTTCTTTCCCTCTAATAGATTTTAAGTAGAGAGAAACTTGAGGTTCCCTTTCACCCTTTTTCTTTCAAAGTAAGGGCTGGGCTAACACCTTACAGTTTATTAATTGTGAAGAAATGAAAAACAAAGTGCATTGGTTCTTTGATTTACAATGTGGGACATATCTTTTCTATTGAAATTTGAGGGAGAGAAACTTAATATGACATTGACTTCTTTTAAATTATAGCTAAAAAACGGGACATCTATGACAAATACGGCAAAGAAGGATTAAATGGTGGAGGTATGTTTTTTTTTTTTTTTTTGCATTTTAGTGATGAGGTGATCTGGAGTTGAAAAGTCTTGACAAATCAGTTGAATGAATTTGTTCTGGCTCATAAAATAGTGAGTTATATGTTGTGGAAATAAATACAGATGCAGCCTAGAGAAAGTGGTCTGCATGGGAGGGAGGAAGGAAAATTGACAGCATTTTAAAACCTATTGTTAGACTAGGAACTTTGCAATGATGTTCTGTCTATAGATACGAAATAATTTGCAATCTTACTTTAATATAGTGTATTTTGGGTTTATACCCCTAGATCATTACCTGATGTTAGTCAGAATATTCCTTACAATTAAAAAAACAGATTTTCGGGCCCCACCTGTACTGAAAAACTAAAATAATTACGTCTGGGTTAGGGCCTGGACATGTGTATTTTTATGAAAAGTTTTCTTGATCTGATGTCCAGCAAGCCCAAACTGCAACCCTTGCTGCAATGGTAGGAAAGTTTTGTGTGTGAGTATTTCTGTGCGTATTTCTTACAAACCTTAGTAACAAATTTTGTGTGTAATAGCATGTGTTGATTACAGATTTAAATATGGTGGAAAAGTATTAATTGAAAGAGATTGCTACTACAAAATTCAGGAACTTTGAAGTCTCAGTATACTTTTATTAACCCCAAGCACAGATCATGTTGTTAATCAGGGCAGAACTCATATTTTGAGTTTTAGAGAGCCTCAGATTTATGAAATATTTTCCTCTCTTTAGGTCATGCTTTATTTAATGATGTCTAAACAAAAAATTGTTTACAAAACGCTGGAATTCACAAACTAAAAATTATGCTGTGTTTGTGTAGGTGGAAGTCATTTTGGTAGGCCATTTGAGTTTGGCTTCACATTCCGTAATCCAGATGATGTCTTCAGGGAATTTTTTGGTGGAAGGGACCCATTTTCATTTGACTTCTTTGGTAAGTTCATTGTCTGTGTAATGGTTTACTTGGTGTGTGTAACCTACGTAAGAACTGATGATGTTTCTGTTTAATTACCATTGTATATTGTCATAAAACTTTGTTTTATAGTAGTTGTAAAATCTTTTCTCACTTTCTCTTGATGATTTTTCTGAATTTACAACTTGCACATTAAAAATAATACAAGTTTTAATGCATTTTTTCTTGTCATGTATGGCCCTAATTCAACTTCCTTTTACAGTTTTAAGTTAGAAAGTGGTGAGGAACTTTATGCCGGGTGTTGTGAAATGTTGTTGCCTGTTGAAAACTGATTTCTACATGAATTTGCCGCGTAATGTTCTTACTAAAATATTAAGCGTCATAACAGCTATTGCTCCGAAGACATTTGATCTATTAACCGGCTTTTCTTCTTTTGTAATTGTGGTGTGCTGTGACTATTGAGTTTACAATTTGTGAAAAGAAAGGACAACTTTAGAGCCAGTTGGTGGAAGTATTTGATATACAGATAGTTTTGTTCAATGAGATAGTGTTGTGCTAGCTGTTTCACTGGTCTGGAAAATGCATTTTATCATCAACTACATCTCTGGTTTTTAATGCTTGATACTAAGTCTTGGTATATATCTAAGATGTAGACTGCTGGGAACTCTTGTTAGCTGTTGTTAGAGCTTCTTTTTGTTTTGTTCTTGACTCTGCTGGAACTTTCAGTGTGTTAATGCTCTGAATGACTTTTGGAAGGTCAGGGTTAAAATCTGTGTTGCTGCAGCCATTTTTGTCTTGGCTCAGTGAGGGGCAGACACATCCTGTCTTTCCCTCCTTCATTTCCTGGAGCCTGATTGAAGAGACTCAACACAGCTGCAACCCCTCAGGAGGGAAAAAAGAAGAGCAGTTCTGTCTACAGAGAGTACAGGGGAAACAAGTGGAACCCCCCTTTCCACTGCCTGTCATAAGCATGAAGAGGAGTTAAATCACCACTAGATCTGGTAGGTATTAGGCTTCTTAAACGTTGCAGTCCTTTATCTCAGAATGGAGATTGAAAGAATTTTCTCATTCTTCCTTATAAGGCATGGCCTGATGTTTTAAAATAGTACCTTATTGAATTAGGGAAGGACCGCTGGTGTATATTACTGTTTTCATTAACAAACATAACGACTAAAGCTAAGCAGGGAAACATTCCTTTTGGGGTGTGGGGAAAAGGACTGTGTGCAGTCTTTTTTTATCTGAACTCCCTTACTTTAATTCCAGCTACCATTAACGTAGAAATATGTATTGATAAAGGTCCCTGTAAATATTAATACGATATGACACATGGCCATGTTTGTATCCTCTATTAATTGGCCCTCATATAGCCAAGAAATCTTAAACTCTACGTAAAAAATATGAAGAATTTACTGATTTTTCCTGCCTTAAAAATTGCTGTTGTGTCTTGTTAAAACCTTTAGCAAAATTCCAGTTTTGTTGGGGTTGGGGAGGGAGAGCCGTGGTGGTTTTGAGCCCTTGTGTTTGGATAGCATGAGTCTCATGGTGGCCAAGGGAGGAAGAAGGCATTACCTTCTTGTTATACCTTGTTGCTTCAATTCTAGGGTTACAAACCTTGGGAGGAGTGGGGACAGCAAAGAGGAATGAAGCAGGCTGACTTCTCAAAATGCCTCTTACCTCTGAGGCTGAGGCATTGATTTTGAACAAGCTTTATGTGATTTTTAAAAATAGAATAAAAGGGAAGAGTCATTTAGTGACTGATCTAATCATAACTTTTATTTTTCTTGGGAAAAATATCTGACAGGCCAAGCTTCCCCATCAAAAATTATTTTCCTTGAGCACTTCTTTCTAGAGTAAAGACAGTATAAATCAATTATTTCAAGTTGGTTTCAACTCATGGTGACTTCATGTGTGTCAGAACTGTGTTCCATAGAGTTTTCAATGGCTGCTTTTCTGGATGTAGGTCACCAGACCTTTCTTCCTAGGTGCCTCTGGGTGGACTTGAACCTCCAGTCTTTTAGTCAGCAGCCAAGTGCATTTAACTGTTTCACCACCCTGTATAAATAGATGATAATAAGATAATGAATGAATAGTAAGATTTTTCCCACTATAAGTTGTTTTAATCTGCTATACCATACTTTCACATTTTTCTAAGTTGTGAAATTTGGGTATGTAAACAGTCTTTTTGTGTGCATTTGTATTTATCTTAGGATTATAAATTGCAGACATAAGGCATTTTGGTGGAGAGTTCTTTTAAAACGACGCAGAGTCCGATATAGGAGATAATAGTATTATGATTCTAGACTATTAGGTACTCAGTTTTAGGTATTGATTGAGATGCTCAAATTTCAAATTTTAAAAAATATTCATTTCCCATATTTTGACCTTCATTAGTTTGGCAGTGATTCTTCTTTAATCCATTTTTGTAGGTGTTCTAGGTGACTTCCATTTTCAGGCACTAAGGATTTACACACAGGAAAGGAAGCTGCTCCATGGCTGCTACATGTATGAAGTAACTGTACAACCAGCTGGTGGTATGTTTAGCAGAGATTTCAGTAATCTAGAGCTGGGAGTTGTGTGCCTTTTCAGTGATTTAGCACCTGTATCATATTTATTTAACCCATTTATAATCCTTATTTGTTGTAGTAGATTATTTTTTGGTCTTGATTTTTATCAGTACCAACTGTTTCCCCTTCATGTTCTGATTTTCAAAGTTGAAAACTTGTAAAATATTTCAGAGCTCTGTTTTGCATTTATCAGAATATAGGATCCTGGTCCTTATTTAAGATCCCCAAATGAAATGGGAGGAAATCTCCAAGAAAACTAATAGGGAAAGAAATTTAGATGCGAAAGGTGTTGCACAGACTGTAAGCAGTTCTGTGTCAGAGTACCAGGCTGTACAGAATTGTTAACTGTGGCAGAGAGGTCTTGGGTATGGAGTTCCTTCTGATGTTGAACCCATTCTTGATGTTAGAAACTCCCAGGAGATAGAGGTTGATTCTAAAGCGATCACTGAATACTAGCTCCAAAATGTATGGGTATGATCAAACCTTTTGAGGCTAACTTTGTTTAAATTTTTTCCAGAATATGGCACATAAAAGTGAGTGCTTGTCAGAATGTTAATTGGAAAAATCAATTAATAGGGATTGCAGTAATTAGAATCAGGATCATCTCTTTTGTTTATAGGACAGCATTTCTCAGTAAAATTGATATTCTAAGATAGAAAAATAACCTAATATTAGTATCTTTGATCCCATTAGAGCCATAAGCAGTGATTTCAGTTTGGGAAAATTGTATGGACATAGTTTTTCCTCATAACTTTACATTTTCATATATTTATTTTCTCCTTTTGGGAAACCAAAAGCAAACTTCGTAACAGTTTCCACAGAGGCTTTTTATTTTAACACATTTTTCCTTTGTAAAGGCTATAATCTTACAAGCCTTGTTGAATGAAAAAAATTAATGTTGCAGTGGATAAATATTAAGATATATAGATCAAAGGAAAGCATATTTTTGGAGGGAAGTATAATTTAATTGAGGGTGATTGTAGTTTGAATTTTTCTGAGCCATGATTTAAATTTTGACATACTCTCCCAGGGTTCGAGGAACTGACAAGTGAGGAGTTGGAGCCTAGTGAAGAATTAGATCAGCCCGGTTTTGAGGAGACAGTAGAAGACATTCCAAGTGAAGATAACAGTGAGGTTTTGGATGTGATTTCCAGTGAGGAACTTGATACCTTGAGTGAAGATGAACCAAGTGAAGTTAATAGCTGGGAACAGGGTGAAGTTCTTAGTGAGGAATTGGAACTTGTGTCCAGTGAGGACGAAGCCAGTTGCGGTGATGTGGAAGATCTCAGTGAAGAATACGAAGAACAGCTTAGTGAGGAAGAATGCAGCACGGCGGAACTCGAGGCACTACTTGCTTAATAAATTTTCAAAGAAACTGCCCTGGGTCTCTGGTTTATAAGAAGTTTTAACTTATATGAAGTGTATCTAGAAGAATAATAAAAATTCTTACACTTGTGCATTTATTGTGCTTGGTCAGATAATCCTGTCTGTCATGGAGATAACAGAAGAAACCAGAAAGGGGTGGCGGATGCCAGGAAGCATTAAAACAAATGTCCTGTAGGTTGCCATTCACTTGGAAGTGAGTGCTTACGTACCCTGAAAGCAGTGTAGTCTTTTGGTCTAACAGAGTTACTTACTTAGGTTTCTTCCCCCCTGTCATCTATAGGAGTTGCTAGTTTAAAAGCACCAAATTTTGAAAGGGGAAAAAACGGGGAAACTTTGCAAGTTAAACCTGCCAGAAAAAAGTTAGGAGTTAGAAAAATGATAGAATACAGAAATGGGTAGGGCGTAAGGAGCTTATGTTAATCCCCCATAGGGACTTGTTACCCTGAAGCTGGTACTGTTGTTGTGCAATGCTACCATGATTTATGTTTGTAACAAAGTTTCTCTCTCTCTCTCACACACACACAAGTAGTTTAAAAGAAGGCAAGGAATAGACTTAAAGGCCACATAAAAACGTTGTAATGTACTAGACTAGTTTCCAGCTAAAGTATTTAAAATAAAAACTTCTTTGCACATAACATAAAACTTTACCATAGAGCATATGGTACTGAACAAATGAGGGAGAATGGTAAGTATTGCTGTTACTTGGTTTCTCTACTCATTCTTTCTCTTATGTAGGAAGTGATTTAGTTGCTTGACTTCTTCTCTGGTGAGATTTTCTTGGAGACTATACCAGATTAAGGCACCCTAGTGGTTCAGTGGTTAAGAACTTGGCTGCTAACCAGAAGGTCGACAGTTCGAATCCACCAGGTGCTCCTTGGAAACCATAAGGGGCTGTTCTGCTTTGTCCTGTAGGGTTGCTATGAGTCGAAATTGACTCAGTGGCAACGAGTTTGGTTTTGGTTTTTGGTATACGCAATTAAAGTATGGTTCTTTGCATGTTTGAGAACTCTTGCTATTGGAATATCAAGCTGGCATTTGAAAACACTTTTTTTCACTTAAAATTATCCTGGC